AAGGAAAAAGACAAAAAAAAAAAAAAAAAAAAAAAAAAGTACCTTCTTGAACAAGCCTTTCCACACCCCTCTTCCTCTCTCCATGTCAGAAAGAGAGACCAGCTAGGGAGGATGCATCTGCTGAACTGTACCTCAGACTCACAGCATCTGACAATGGAAGCACTCAGACTTAGGCTTCTCAACTGATGTCACCACCTACAGACACTGCAGACTGTGGTCAAATCCTGGGTCGTGCACTTATAGGCTCAGGGTCTCACTGGACAGGTTGGGTTCTGTTCTAAAACCCTAACACTGACCATAGGCCTCTCTTCAGGAAGAGGCTGCCTCCTACCCCAAACTCTGTCCCAAAGCCCTCTCTAAAAGCCAGGCTGACTGCCCTGCAACACAGAACTCCTGGGTTCAAGGCGTGGAGGGCAGGTGAACGGCACAAGATGCCTCCGGGCTGCAGCACCGGTGCTGCCCAGGCCTGCCTTGTCCTGGCTCCTCCTGTCTCCTCAGTTCCCAGGATCACAGGGATACTAAGGCCAGAAAAGAGGGCTCCAGAAGACCAAGGCAGAGGCTCCTGATTTTAAAACAGAGCAAAGAGTGCTGCACACAACAGCCAGCAGCACAGCAGCTGGGCTATATTTCAGCCATGGGTTTATTCTTAGGTAGGCAGGCTGTATGTTTTTACAATACTTTATCGTACTTTGTGATTTAACTTGATTACAAATCTTGGCAATATTACATGTATACAAGTGGTGTCAAACCTTCTCAGTTATGCTATTAGCTAGCACTGTTAGGGCAAAGGCACAAGAAGTGGAATCCCGATTTGCTCTCTAAGAAACAAACTCCAAGTTCTCCCTGGATGTTTGAAGTCGCTCCCACTCTCTCTGCCCACCTGCAGGACACACATCCTGGGTTCACAGAGCAAGTGTTTGCTGAGCTGCAGATGTGAGAAGAATACAGTGCACCTTCAGTGTTCCTTCTCCAGCAGGAGCAGTGTTCAGCTCCAGGACGCGGGGCTTTTCCCAGAGCTGGCTACCATGGGGAGGGTCGGTGAAGTATGCACTGAAAGTGAGGGCTGCTCTTTTGTTTCCTTGGGAATAAGGTGCAAGCCCTGGGGGCGGGGGGGGGGTCACAGAGCACTCTGATCCCCACAGCCAAGAAGACACATGCATCTCCAGATCTTCTGCAGCAACTCTTCTGTGAGTTCCATGCATTGGATTCGAAAACTAGAATTTGAATCCTTACTACTGGTGACTGGCAAATCTGAACCTACACAGTTCACATCATTACACATGAGCCAAAATTTGCAGCTAAAGTTAGAACAACTTTTATTTCATCTACATGCTTGTAAATTAAAGGGATCTGAATTTGCTTTGGAAACATACAGGATCCTATTAGTTGCCAAAATTCTCCGCCAACCCAGCAGGAAATTCGTATCTGAGGTCGAGCACAAGGGAATATCCTAAACTCTCCCACCTACTGCTGCTACCTCACTTCCGAGACAAGACACAAGGCAGGAGGATCACGTCACCAACAGCCCCAGGAGGGTCCCGAGGTCAGGTGCACATGTGCAGAAAGATGACTTTGCCAGGAATTGTCTATCCAGGTGCACAATCAGAGGAGATGGATACCGAGCGTTCACAGCTCACCTCCTCACCTTCTGTTGATTTTCCTCAGCCTACTAGCCCTTTTCCCACCGGCCAGTAGTGTCACCATGTCATGTGGGTTCACTGCAGGATGGACACAGCAAATATGCTGAGAAGGGACTAAGAAGGACTCCCGGTCCTCAGCTTCTTTCCATTCTAGGAAGTACTTCACTATCTGTGATGCCAATAAAGAGGACAACCATCCTCCGTAAGTAGACCAGCGATGAACAATCAGAGAGGACTACACATCCTACTCATAGTGCTTCTTGAGGACTCTAAATATTTATGACATCACAAGTTCAGACAAGTGCTTTTTTGTTTCAAGCCTTTCCATTTTGAGAGAATTGACATTTTTAATGCACTTGATAGATAGCCTGCACGAAGGTTCCTGTAGTATTTATCTTGCAAGATGGTGGCTCCGTATCACAAGCAGACAGCTGATATAGATGTAATCCAACGACATTTGCTGTTTTCTATAAACCAACGTACTCTTTTCTTAATGTAGGAAATCAGCAATGGTGCCTCAAGATGGAGGGGCTAAGATGATGAACATTAAACTTATGAACAGAATGTTTAATGGGTGAGTGAAGTCAGACAAACTCAGGGGAGCCATGGCTTCTTAAATTCTTTTAAGTAAACCAAATTCTTCTTACTGACCATCCTGACCACAGGGCAGGAGCTTCTTTGCATTTTGTTTCAGTTTAGTGTTTCCTAAGATTAAGATGAGAGTGTATAGGTGGGTAGGAGCCAGCCACCAAGGTGCAGAACCGAAAGAGGAAGCTTTCAGCCTGCAGGATTTTTAAAAACAGCAAAATGATTATCACATACTGGAAGAAGTAAAGGATCATGAAGGACAGAATGGGTAGCATTGCCCTGATGGGGGCACCTCTGTGGGGACCCCAGCTACCAATTCCCATGGTTCTCATGTGCTGGGCGTGTTCCCCCAAGGAGAAAATCAAGAGCAGAACAGCAATAAGGAAGATAATTAATGGCACTGCAAGATCAAAAATCACAAAAGAAAGAGGTAATATGCCTATTCCATCAGATTGAGTTACATTTTTGGAAAAAATGTTAACAAGTTTTGGGTAATAGTCCAGGTGTAATTTATCTAGAGGCAAGTACTGATGGCTGCATACAGCGTAGATCCCAGGATCAGCCAGGGCACCAACCTGAAAATCCTCCTCTTCAACCAGAAGAACAGGGGGTGTGGGATGGTGGCGATCTTGGCACAGTAGAAAACACCAAGCCACGTAGCCAACCAAAGCCCCCAAATATTTGCAAACATAAAAATAATATAAAACACAGAAAATACAGACAGCTTCATGAAAGAGGTAAAAAACTTTTGCACAAAGGAGGACTGGAGACAAATCCTTGAAGTCGCCAGGCAGGAAAGGAGCAGATCCAAAGGAGGCATCTGTTCGCTTGACAAATTCCACTATGTTCACCACCACAATGAAGCCATTTGCGAGGACCCCAATAAGAAATTGTGATATTAAAATAAGTAAATGGACAATGAGATGATGCGTTAGCATGTTGGGAGGAGAATCTTCAACGATGTGTGGATTTTCAGGCAGCCTCTATTCTTCATCCTCTCTGTTTTTCTACAGTTTGAGCAGGATGCCTTTCAGGAGCAAGATTCTGATCATGAAGCCAATGAAGTAGGAATGCACTGTTCATTCTTTATCCCACTGCTTTCTCAATTTAGTTCTGAGACAGTCAAACAAGGAAGAGATATTTCAGCAGTAATTTGCTTCTTACTGATGTCTTTTGCATTTTCTAGTCCTTCTTAGCTTTCATGGTCACCATAAGCAAATAGTGGAATTGGATCCATTTGCATGAGTGCTAGAAGTCTGCTTAGCTGGAGAACCAGCCAGAGCTTCTCAATCTTCATCTCTACCATGAGTAGCTAGATGTGCCACAGCTGGGCTTCTACTGTACATTATCAATATATTCTTCAAAAAACACTTTAAATATATTTTGCTTCCAGGCCAGCAATGTAAGATTCCCATGTAGTAATTCTAATGCACAAAGTTTGAGGAAATCAGGACCTCGTAAAATTTAAGATACTTATATAAGAAAACATGCAGTGTACAATATAGACCCAAGGCAATAGGGTTACAAGTGATGCAGACACTGCATGAAAACCCCAGTGTGAGAGCTGGAGAGGGCAGTTACTGAAGGGAGATATTTAAAATTGCAGTTTTCACTATTTTAATATTCTAATTGTTTCAAAACTCATAATTTAAATATTCTAATACCGTGTAGAGTCAGAATTGACCATTTGGGAGAGGAAAAGATCCATGTACTTTTTAGAAGCTGAAAATGCAGGTTCTACATGGCTATGAACCCCAAACAATTGCCAACCAACTTTGTAGATTGAAGCTGCTGGTCTGCCACTTCTCTGTCTGTGTAAGTTACAACTCCAGCCCCATCCATTAATTTCCTTTCTAGTAGATAATGTCCACCAGATAATCTGCTCTGGAAAATCCCCTATTGCCCACAAGACTGAACCCTTAGCTGCAAACCCAAAATCCAATCAGGCAGGTGTCAGCACTCAAGAGGGTGAAGACAGGACACTACCCCATAAAACACAGCCCCGTCCAAGGTTTGGCATTGTTGCAGGCTTGAGTGCCCCAGTCCTTGCTTGGGGTGGCTTTCTACGATACCTAAAACTGCCCTCACTTTCCACTGGACTCCCCTCACTCCCTTCCTCTTCGCACATCAGAAAGAGAGCCCAGTACGGTGAGGATGCAACTGTTGACCACTGAACCCAGACCCCCTGGATTCTGCAGAGTCACACAGACTTAACCTTGTCAGTGGATTTTACGGCCTTACCTCACTGCAGACAATAGAGAACTCCTGGGTTGGGCACCTGCTGCTGCCCACATTGCTCTTGAGGTTCCTGGGGTGAAGGACTGCGAGAGGATAAAAAAATAAATAAGAGACAAAAGCTGGGGTCTGATGGAGCCCTTACTCTCTGGATAGAAGGACAAGAACTGCCCCCCTCGCTGTCGGGGCATTTACTTATTCACTTTGCAACACAGTATCATGTGGTATCCCTTTGCAGAGCAAGTCATTGCTTGCATTGTCTATGGGCTTGGTGTTTTTCTGGGCTAAAGCAGCTTCTGCACATGATTTGTGCTGGATGCTCTTTAGTTTTGAGACAGCCATGCCATAGTCCTCCACATGTGATCAATTTCTACCTTCAATGGGTCCTCTAGGCACTGAAGGACTCAGACTCTCATGGGAGGGTACACAGGTTGGGGCTCCTCTCTGAAGAGCTAAGCGCTGTCCCTGCAAGTCCCTCTGGAGTCAGGAAGAGGCTTCCTCCTGCCCCAAACTCTGTCCCAAAGCCCTGTCTGGAAGCTAGGCTGACTGCACCACAACACTGAGCTCCTGGGCACAGGGCATGGAGGGCAGGTGGATGGCACAGGACATCTCCCGGCTGCAGTACCACTGCTGCCCAGGCCTGCCTTGTCCTGGCTGCTCCTGTCTCCTTCCTGAAGACTGCGGAGTTCCCAGGAACACAGGTTTTTTGTGCTCATGGTTCTGGCCCCAGGGCAGGGCTGAATCTGCTCCTGGGTGACAGGGGAGAGAGGGCAGAACACCTTGTGTCTGCTCCATGCTCGGCTCTCTTCTCCTCAAGCCACCAGGGTTCTTCATGGGTCCCGCTCTGATGAGTCGCCCCACTGAAAACTCCCCCAAGGTTCCCTTCTAAACAGCAGGAAGATTCAGTTTCTTCCTTCTCCCCGCCATAGTGAGGAAGAACCTTAGCACAGGCACCTGGAGGGACACCCAAGCCACGTCCAGACCACAGCCATCGCCGTAAACTCTGCTCAGGCCCTCAGTCTCCATTTCCTCCCCTCCTGCTTTTATTATTTCTTTTTTTTTTCTTTTTCCTTTTTATCGTTACCAAGGATCAAAGTCATGACTGCCTGCTTGCAAGGCAGACGCTTACGCCACTGAGCTAAATCCCCAGCCCCTTTTTATTTTTTTTATTTCTTCTTTCTTTATCTCTCATTCTTTCTTTTGACTTTTCTTCTTTCCTACCTTCTTTACTGCTTTCTTTTTTCCTCTCTCTCTCTCTCTCTCATCAGTCTGTCTCTCTGTCTCTGTCTGTCTGTCTGTCTGTCTCTGTCTCTCTCTTTCTCTGTCTCTCTCCCTCTCCTTTTCCCTTTTGCTTCCTGTTGTTCTTTAGATATAACCTGGAGCCTTTAAATTGAGTTTCATCAGCAACCTCAGAAAATTTTTAAGGGACAAGGAATTGCTCTGTGGCTAAATTGCAAGGGTTAAGATTACAGTTGCAGTCCTCCTGCCTCAGCCTTCCAGAATCCTGAAAGTATAGGCACATACTACCATCCTTGGTGAGAAGGACATGTTTCTAAAAAGAGAGGATGGACACTGTGCCAGGATAGATAGAAGTCAAACTGCTGCTGGGTGAGAGGACGAGAGCAATTTTGCAGGGTTAATGAGTTGAGACAAAGAGGGCTCCAGAGAGACAAGACTGAGACTTCTGATTTTAAAACAGAGCAAAAAAGAGTTACACACAACACCCAACAGTGTATTTACAGTGCTATTAAATTTCTGCAAGAAATTTATTTCGAGGAAAACAAGCAATGGTTATTTTTTGTAATGCTTTATTATACTCCTATTTATTACAAACCTTGGTAATACAAACTTAACCATACCTTCATGCTTATGCTATTAACTAGTACTATTAGAGCAAAGAAACATGAAATAGAGTTTCAATTTGGTATCTAAGAAACAAACTCCCAATGCATTTCTTCCTGGATATTTGAAGTTGCTCCCACTCTCTCTGCCCACCTGCAGGACACACATCCTGAGTTCAGAGAATGAGTTTTGCTGAGGTGCAGTGTGAGAAGGAGAAGACACACAGTGCTCTGTGAACTCAGGGTGTGTGTTTCTTCCCAACAGGAGCAATATTCACCTCCAGGACATGAGTGCTCCTCCCAGAGCTGGGTATAGAGGGAAGGAGCACTGGGAGGCATGAACAGGAAGTGGTGGCTGCTCCTTTGCTTCCTGGGGGGTATGGAGATCCCTCTGGTTCCCACAGTCAAGATGACATCTCAGATCTTCTGCAGCAACTCCTCTATGAGATGCATATCTGGGATTCAAATATCAGATTTGAATCCTTACTACAGGCAATTGGCAGATCTAAATCTATCACAGTTTACACATCATTGTGCATGAACCCAAATTAACAGCTAAACTTAAGAACATCTTTTATGTCACTAACTTGCCTGAAATCAAAGGGGCTTTGGATTTTCTTTGGAAACATGCACGAACCTCTTAGTTTCCAAAACCTTCAGCCACCCTCATAAAATACATCTCTGAGATCAGGCAGATTGGAACACCACCAGCCCCTCCTGCCTACTAGTGTTGCCTGATTGGGAAGACAAGCCAGGCTGTAGAAGTGACACATCAGGGGCTGGGGATTTAGCTCAGTGGCATAAGCGCCTGCCTTGTAAGCAGGCAGTCGTGAGTTCGATCCCTGGTACCGATAAAAAGGAAAAAGACAAAAAAAAAAAAAAAAAAAAAAAAAAAAAAAAAAAAAAAGAAGTGACACATCACCAGCAGCCACTAGAAAGGTCATGAAGTCACGAGTACACGTGTGGAAAGAAACACCTGTAGGGCATTGTCCATCGAAGGTCCACATATAGGGGAGATTGAAAAGAAGGCTTCAGATTTCACTCCATGCTCTTCTCCATTTTCTCCAACTATGAATGGTTTTATCAGTTGCTAGCAAGTTTTGCCATGTCATCTAGGTTCTTTGCAACATGGCCACAGTGAGTATGCTCTCAAGAATGACACCTACCTGAACTTCTGGTCCAGTCTAAGAAAGGTTTCATTGTATGTGGTTTGACTAAAGAGGAGAGAAATCATGTTCAGTAGACGAGGGATGAACAATCAGCCCATTTGATTCAGATAAACCATTGAAAACTGGACAGGAACTGACAAGGGTACTAGCGCATTCTGTGTCTCTGGGGGATCTCGAGTTCAAACAAGGGCTTTTCCTTGCCTCCAGTTCCATCGCCTTTGAGAAAGCTGTGTTTTTTCATACACTTAGAAGACATCGCGCACAGAGATTCCACTACTATTTATCATGCAGGAAGGCAGCGTCATGTCACGAAGAGAACACTGACACAGATGTAATCCAGAGGCATAGGCTGTGCTTTATAGATCAATGTCACTTTCTGTGAAGTATAAAATGTGTAATCGTTCCTCAAGATGGATGGGCTATGATGATGAACAGTACATTTGTGAATAGGATATTTACTGAGTTAGTGAGAGGAGGCAGACACAGGGAAGTCATTGGCTCCTAAGTCCTTTCAAATAAATTCAAATCTTTCTTACTGACCACACTGACCGCAGAGCTGGAACTTCTTTGCATTTTGTTGCAGTTTAGGATGTCCTAAAATTAAGACGACAGAGCGTACAGATGGGTAGGTGCCAATGATCAAGATGCAAAACTCAAAGAGGAAGCTTCCAAATTGCAATATATGAAAGAACAACAAAATGGCCATCATGTAGTGGGAGAAGTAGAGGGTCAGGAAGGACAGGATGGACCATGGTTCTCATGTGCTGCATGTGTCTCCATGCAGGGAGAAAATCAGTGACAAGGACCAGCGATGAGCAAGATAATAAATGGCACTGTATTATCAAAAATAAAAAATGAATGTGGTATAACGTCTATTCCTTTGGTTTGAGTTGCATTTTTTGAGAAAAACTCAACCAACAATGTTGGGTAGTAACCATGTATATTTTATCTGGATGCCAGCACTGATAGATGCATGAAATATAGAGTGAAGGATCAGCCAGGGCACCAGCTTAGAAATCCTCATCTTCAGCCAGAAGAACATGGAGTCCTGGATGGTGCTAATCTTAGTGCAATAGAAAACACCAAGCCACGTGGCCAACCAAAGTCCCCAAATATTTAAAAAAATAAAAATTACGTAGAGCCCAGCAAATTCAGATTGTTTCATTAAGGAGAGAGGAACTTTGTGTGCAAGGAAGAGGAACAACTGGAGACAAATCCTCGAAGTCACCAGACAGAAAATGGGCAGATCCAAAGGAGCCATTTGTATCTGCTTGATGAAGTCCAGCACGTTCACCACCACGATGAAGCCACTCGAGAAGACCTCATAAGAAACCCTGTCACTATTATAAGGAAATGGATAATGAACTAATACATTAGCATGTTGAAAGCAGAAAAATCTTAAAAGATATACAGGTTTTTGAGCAGTTTCAGTTCTTCACCCTCTCTGTTCTTCTTCAACTAGTGCAGGACGCCTTTGAGGACCAAGATTCTTCTAAACATGAAGGCAGTGGAGTGGGAAGCTGGTGAGAATCTGTGTATGTCACTGCTTTCTCAAATTATTTCTGTGACATTCAAATAAGGAGAGATAGTCAGGCAACAATTTGCTTCTTGCTGATGGCTTTTGCATTTTCTAGTTCTTCTTAGCTTTCATGGTCACCATAAGCAAATGGTGGAATTGGAACCCTTCAGATGACTGCTAGAAGTCTGTTCAGCTGGAGAACCAGTCAGAGCCCCTCAACCTGCATCTCCACCATGAGTAACCAGATGTGCCACAGCTGGGATTCCACTGCACATTATGAAGCCATTCTTCAAAAAATAGTTATAAAAAGTATATCACTTCCAGGATCTTTATGTCTCAGTGCCAGCAATATAAGACTCCCACATAGTTATTCTAATACACAAAGGCTGAGAAAATCAAGACCTATTAAAATTTAAAGTAGTTATATAATAAAATATATAACATTCAAGGTGAAGTATCACTCAATATAAAACCAAGACAATAAGGGCTAGATATGTAGGTCGACCCTGCATCAAAACCCAGTGTGAGAGGTTTACTGTTTGGAGACATTCAGGATTGCAGAATTCTTCATTTTAACTTTCCAGTTGTTATAATACTTATATTTTGAATACGTGTATGTAGGGTAGGGTGAGAAGGGACCCCTTGGGAGGGCAAAAGACCCTGGTCCTTTTTAGAGGGTAGAAAACGCAGGCTCTGAGTGGAGGTGAGCATCAAACAATTGCTAAACCACTTACTTGTTTTGAGCTGATAACTGGTTACATTTGTGTGTGTATGAGCTACCATGTCCCCTTAAATTTCCTTTCCACTATGTAACATCCCATAAACAAGGGTTAGAAATTAGAGCTCATGAGTTAGAACCCTTAGCCACAAGACCAATACCCAATCAATCCAGTATTGATCCTCAGGAACAGGAGACGGGACCCTAACCCATAAAGCAGGGCCACTGCCCCAGATTTGGTGGTGTCCAACCTCTGAACACCCCCTTGCTTCCTTAGAACAGTTCTGTAAATCTTATTGCAATACTTACAAGAAAGCACTTTGGCTTTCCACTGGCCTTCTCTGACTCCTCTTTCTCTTTCTATGTGGGAAACACAGGTCCAGGAAGGGGAGTTAGCTGATGTTTAGGCCTGCTGGAGCCTTACAGTGAGCTACATCTGCAGCTTTAATTTTTTTTTCAAGATATTGCTGTTTCTAAGTTATCCAGGGTCGGCTCACACTTGTAGCCCTTCTGCCTCAGCCACGCAGAACGCTGGAAGTATAGGCACGTACAATCACACTTAGCTAACAGACACCATTTCTAAAGCAGAGGAAGGAGCTGTGCTGGGCTGCATTAGACAGAGGTCACACTGCTCCTAGATGTAACGACAATGACAATATGGTAGGGCTGGTGTGTCCCAGCTGGTGAGGGGTCTGGAGAAAGACAAGGCTGAAACTCTTCTGCTTAAGACAGAGCAAAGAGTCCTGCACTTACCACCAAGCAGCACAATAACTAGGCAACGTTTCTACAAGAAATTTCTTTCCATGGAAGCAGACAGTGGTAATGTTTTCAAAATGGTTTACTATACTTTATGATCTCTCTTTATTATAACACTTGGTAATACAAGTTTACAAATTTAGTCATAGCTTCATACTTATACTGTTGACCAGCACTCTTAAAGCAAAGATACATGAAAGGGAATCCCAATTTGATATCTGAGAAAAAAAAATTTCCAGGCGAGTTTCGTGGCCATAGATTTCTCCCTGGACCTCTGGAGTTGCTCCCGCTCTCTCTGCCCACCTACAGGACACAGATCCCAGGTTCACAAGCAAGTGTTTGCTGAGCTGCAGATGTGAGATGGATACAGTGCTGTGTCCCCAGCAGGAGCAGTGCTCATCTCCAGGACACGGGTGCTCTTCCCAGAACTGGCTACAAGAGGGAGGGACTGGGTGCTGGGGACAGGAAGTAGGGGCTGCTCCTTTTTCCGGGAGAACCAGCTCCAAGCTGGGAAGACAGAGAGCTCCCTAATTTCCCGGGTCAAGAAGACACATGCATCTCCAGATCTTCTGCAGCAACATCTCTATGAGATGCATGCCTGGGATTTTCAAATCTGAATTTGAATTCTTACTCCTGGTGATTGAAAAATTTAAATCTACACAATTTATATCATCACACAGGAAGGCAAATTACTAGGTAAACCTAAGAACATCTTTTATTTTACTGACATGGCTGAATTTGCTTTGGAATCATGTGTGATTCCCTTAGTTTCCAAAATCACAAGCCAGCTTAGCAGGAAATACATCTCTGAGGTCAATCACATTGGGACACCCTCAGCCCCTCCCACCTGCTGGTGCTGCCTCACTGGGAATACAAGCTACGTGGTAGGAGGGTCAAATCACTAGTAGTCATTGGAATGGTCCCGAAGCCAAGTGTACGAGAGTGTAATGAATCACCTTGCAAACCATTCTCTGTGCATGGTGCACAACTAAGGGAGATGAAACATGAGCCTTCAACTCTTCTGTCTTCTCCTCCTCCTCCTTTTTGTCAGTTCCTAGGAAATGTCACCAACTCATCTAGCTTCTCTGCAAGATCGACACAGTGAATACGCTCCCAGGAACCAACAAGGATTCCCCATCCTCAGCTTCCTTTGCAGTCTGAGAAGCGGTTCATTATCTATGACTCTGTCAAGGAGGATTCTACATGATAGACAGGGGTAAACAATTAGCACAGTGGTTTAGATAAACCTTTCAATGCTAGATATTCTATCAACAGTGGTACTATAGCATTCTGTTTCTTTCTGAGCTCATGAGTTCAACAATTCTTTTCTTCCTCTTCAGTATCTTACACTGTGAGAAAACTGTGGTTTTTCATGCACTTAGAAGACATCATGTGCTCAGATGTTGGCGCTATTTATCTTACAGGAAGGCAATCTCATGTCACAAATACAACACTGATGTAGATGTAACAGAGATATTTGTTGTGCTTTACAGATCAATGTCACCTTTTGTGAAGTTAGAAAATCTGTAACCATGCCTTGGGATAATGAACAATAAGTTTGTGAAGAGGATGTTTATTGGATGAGTGAGGGGAGAGATATACAGGGGAGCCATTGTCCCTTAAATCTTATCAAGTGATTCAAATTATATTCACTGATACCACACTGATTACAGAGGAGAAACTTGTTAGCATTTTTCTTCAGTTTAGGATTTCCTAAAACCAAATAACAGAGGGAATAGGTGGGCAGGTGCCAGCCACTAAGATGCAGAACTCAAAGAGGAAGCTTCCAGAGTACAACATTTGAAAAAAAGAACAACATGGCCATCATGTAGTGGGAGACATAGAGAAGTAAAAAGGACACGATGGGGGTGCCCCAAGGAGATCCCTGGCTTCCCTAGCACTGCTTCTCATCTGCAGTGCGTGTCTCCCCAGGGGGGAAACCAAGAGCAGAACAGCAGTGAGGCTGATAATTAATGGCCCTGTAAGATGAAAAACCAAAATAGAGAGTGATACAAGTTTTATTCCTTTGGTTTAAGTCACAGTTTTAGTGACAAAGTTACCCAAAATTTTTTGGGTCACAGTCCATGCATGTTCTTCATAGATGCCAGCACTGATGGATGCATACAGTGTAGAGCCCAGGACCAGCCAGGCCACCAACTTGGAAATCCTCATCTTCAGCCAGAAGAACAGGGGTTGTGGGATGATGGTGATCTTGGTGCAGTAGAAAACACCCAGCCACATGGTCAACCAAAGCTTCTGAACATTTGAAAATATAAAAATTATTTTAAGCTTAGCGAGTACTGACTGTTTCGTGAATGAGAGAAGAACCAGATGTGCCAGGAAGATGAGCATGTGCAGAGTAATCCTTGAAGTCACCAGGCAGGAAAGGAGCAGATCCAAAGGAGCCATTTGTTGCTGCTTGACGAAGTCCACCACATTCACCACCATGATGAAGCCATTTAACAAGATCCTAGGAAGAAATTACATCACTATTATGAGAAAATAGATAATGAACTGAAGGGCTAGCATGTTGAGAGGACGAAAATCGGTCACTTCCTTAGGGGTGTGTAGATGTTCAGACAGTTTCAGTCATTCATCCTCTCTGTTCTTCTTCAGCTAGAGAATGGCCTTTCGGGAGCATAATTCTAGTCATGAAGGCGATGGGGCAGGAAGGCAATGTACACTTACTTATATCACTGCTTTCTCAATTTAGTTGTAATATATTCAAATAAGAAGATAGTGCAGCAGTAATCTGCTTCTGCTGATGGCTTTTGGTGTTTCCTAGTTCTTCTTAGCTTTCATGGTCACCAGAAGCAAATAGTGGAATTGAATCCCTTCTGATCATTGCTGGAAGTCTGCTCAGCTGGAGAGCCAGCCGGAGCCCCTCAACCTTCAGCTGCACCATGAGTAACTAGTGCCACAGCTGGGATTATACTTCACATTATGAAGATATTCTGCAAAAAACACTTTAAAAAATCATTTCTGCTATCATTATGTCCTAGACCCAGCAATGCAACATTCTCATGGAATAATTCTCTAATGTCCAAAGGCTGAGAAAATCAGGACCTCCTAAAATGTAAGATAGTTATGTAATAAAATGCACAGGGTACAGACCAAAGTGTCCTTCGATGCAGAAGGAAGACAGTACGAGATACATGTGTGTGTAGACACTGCATCGAAATTCCTGTGTGAGAACAAATGACGACATTTACTGTTGGGAGACATGTTAAATTTCTGTGCTCATTATTGCAATATTTTATTTATTGCAATACTAATATGTTAAATATTCTTATATAGTGTAGGCTCAGCAGGGACCCCTGGGGATGTTAAAAGACCTCAACCCTTTTCAAAGGATGGGAAATGCAGGCTCTGTGTGGCTATGAGCACCAAACAATTTTTAAACAACTATGTGTTTTAGCACTGATAGCTGGTCACACTTGTGTGTGTGTAAACCACCACTGCCCCTGAAATTACCCTTCCTATATGTAATGTTTGCAAACAGAATCTGCTCTTGTAAGTTCCCTTATACCTCAAGGACTGATCCCCTAGCCACAACCACAAAATCCAATTAATCAAGTGTTGACACAGATGGTGGAGACTAGGACCTTTCCCCATAAAAAAGGACAGCTACCCCTGATTTTGTACTTTTGCAGATCTGAGCACCCCACTCCTTCCCAGTGGTAGTTTTTTACTGATACGTGTAATGCCTGTAAGAAAAGTACCTTTGCTTTGCACTGACCTTTCCTCACTCCTCTGCCTCTCTCCATGACAGAGTCCAGACCAGGACGGTTGACAGTGTTAATGGCTGACTCGACCCAAGGGATCCAACAATATTAGCACTAGGACTTAGACTTGTCAGGTGGTGTCACCACCTTTTGTCACTGCAGATGCTGGAGAACTGGATTGGGCTGTGAAGGACTCAGGGTACTGGAGAGTGCACAGGTTAGGGCTCTTCTCTGAAGTGCTAAGCACTGTCCCTGCAATCCCTCCCTCTTCAGGAAGAGGCTGCCTCCTGGACGAAATTCTGTCCCAAAGCCCTCTCTGGGAGCCAGGCTGACTGCACCATAACACTGAGCTTCTGAGCACAGGAGGTGGAGCAGATGGACAGCACAGGAATTCTCCCGGCTGCCCAGGCCACCTTGTCCTGGCTCCTCCTGTCTCTTTCCTATAGACTACAGAGTTCCCAGGATCAGAGGTTTTTCTTGCTCATGGTTCTGGTCCCAGGGCAGGGCTGCATCTGCTTCCCAGAGGCAGGGGAGAGACGGGAGGGAACCCTGTGCCTGCTCCATGCCTGACCCTTTTTTCTCAAAGCCAGCAGGGCTGCCCATGGGCCCTGCTCTGATGACTCACCCCACTACAAGCTCCGCCAAAGGTTCCTCCTTAAAGGGCAGAGTGATTTAAGTTTCTTCCTTCTCCTTTCCCAGAGCGAGGACGAACTTCAGCACAGGCACCTGGAGGGTCACTCAAGCCATGTCCAGACCACAGACTTCACCATAAACCCTGCTCACACCCTTCAGTTCCCTCTCCTTTCCTAGCTTTCTTTCTTGTTTCCTTTATTCTCTTTGTTTTTTCTTCCTTTCTTTCTTTTTATCATATTTCTTTTTCTCTCCTTCGCTTGTGTTTTGTCCCTTCCTGCTTTTTGCATCCTGTAGTGCTGTAGATATAACCTAAAGCCTTTACACTGAGCTACATTAGCAGCCTCTAAAAATTTGAGGACTGTGTATTGCTCAATTTCCAGGGCAAGATTCACACTTACTGTCTCAGCCTCCCAGAGTCCTAGAAGTATAGTCATGCACTACCATGTTTGGCTGGAAGGACAAATTTCTAAAAGCAGCAGCATGGACACTGGGCCAGAATAGAGTTCAAACTGCGGCTGGATGAAAGAAAGACCCAAGCCATCTGGCAGGGCTATTGAGGCCAGATAAAGAGGGCTCCAGAGAGACAAGACTGAGACTCTTCTGATTTTAAGACAGAGAAAAGAGTGCTACACACAACACCCAACAGCACAATAGCGAGGCCACATTTCTGCAAGAAATTTATTTTGAACAATGTAGGCAGTGGTTATTTTTTTGCAATGCTTTACTGTACACTGTGGTTTTACTTTATTGCAAATCTTGGTAATATTACGAGTATACAAACTTAGCCATACCTCATGATTATGCTATTAACCAGCACTCGCAGAGCGAAGATACATGAAATAGAATCACAATTTGGTATCTGAGAAACAAATTCCCTGTGCCTTTTTCCCTGGATATTTGAAGTTGCTCCCAGTCTCTCTGCCCACCTGCAGGACACACTTACTGGGTTCACAGAGCAAGTGTTTACTGAGCTACAGATGTGAGAACAACAAGATGGCGTGTTCAGTGTTCCTTTCCAAAGGAGCACTATTCACCCCAAGGGCACAGGTGCCCTTCCCAGAGCTGGCTCCTGGAGGGGCTGTGAGGCATGAACAGAAGTGGGGGCGCTTCTTCATTCCCTGGGATTTAAGTCTAAGCCCTAGGGAAACACAGAGCGCCCTGGTTCCCACAGCCCAGAAGATACGTTTCCTGTTTAAGAACACTCTCCAGATCCTTTGCAGCACTCTTCCCAGAGTTCAATGTCTGAGATTTGAAAATCACAAGTTGAATCCTTACTGCTGGTGTTTAGTAAAACCAAACCTAACACAGTTTACGCATCATGACATAAGAACCCAAATTAACAGCTAAATTTAGAAACAGCGTTTATTTCATTGACTTGCCTGAAAGCAAAGGGGATATGAATTTGTTTTGGAAACATGCATGAATCTTTTAAATTCTAAAATCATCAGCCAACCAGTATCTGTGAGGTCATGCAGGTGGGGATGCCCTCAACTACTCATACGGTGTTGCCTCACTGAGAAGAAAGCAGTGTCGGGGGAGGAACAAACCCCCAGGAGTCATTGGAAAGGTCCCAAAGCCAACTGCACACGAGTATAATGAAGCACCTTTGTGAGGCATTGACAGTTCAAGGTGCACAGCTAAGTGAGATGAGAAAGGAGCCCTCAGATCTCACCTCCTCTCTGTTTCTCCTTCTCCTGATCCTCCACCTATCAGCTCTTTTATCAGATGCTCGGATGTGTCACCACGACATCTAGGTTCTCTGACAGATGGACACAATGAATATACTCACAGGGCTTCATGTTTTCAACCTCCTTTCCTGTCCAAGAAAGGCTTCCTTATCTGTGAGCCCAATAAAGAGGACACACACCTTATGCAGATACACAAGGGATGAATGACCGGCCCATTTGAGGCAGATAAATAACACAGGCCTAGACATCCTACCAACGATGGTGCTGCAAGATTTGCTGTATTTATGACATGACAAATCCAAGCAAATGCTTTTGTTCCTCTTCAATGCTTTTAACTGTGAGAGAATTGTGGTTGTTCCTGCGCTTGGAACAGATCATGCACAAAGATTCCTGTAGTATTTATCTTGCAAGATGGTGGATCTGTATCAGAACTACAGCACTGACACGGGTGTAATTGACTGACATTCATTGTGCTTTACAGGAGAACGCACATTTTTCTGAAGGCAGCAAATCTGTAATGGTGTCTCAGGTTGGACAGGCTGGAATGATGAAAAGAACATTTATAGGCAGGATATTTATTGGGAGGGAGATGAGAGACTGACACAGGGAAGCCATCAACTCCTAGATCCTTTCCACAGACACAAATTCCTCTCACTGAGCACACTGACTGCAGAATAGGAACTTCTTTGCATTTTGTTTCAGTTTAGTATTTCCTAAAACTAAGATGACAGAGTGTAGAGATGGTAGCTGTCAGTCACCAAGGTACCGAACTCAAAGAGAAGGCTTCCAAACTGTAATATTTGAAAAAATATTAAAATGGTCATCATGCAGTGGGAGAGACAGAGGATTAGAAGGACAGGATGGACGGACAGCAGTGCCCTGATGGGGGCTCTGTTGTGGAGATCCTGCTTCCCATAGCAACGCTTCTCATGTACTGGCTGTGTTTCCCAGGGAGAAAATCCAGAGCACAGCAGCGGTGAGGAAGATACTTAATGGCACTATAAGAAGAAAACTGGAAACTGAAAGGGTTAAACATCTATTCTTTTGCTTTGAGTTGCATTTTTGGACAAAAGTTGAACAAAACATTTTATGATTTTCATGGATGCCAGTACTAATAGATGCATACAATGGTTGAACAAAACAGTTTATGATTTTCATGGATGCCAGTACTAATAGATGCATACAATGCAGACCA